ATCAATCTGTGTTACTGCGCAGTATTTCCTGACTCAATGTGTTTTACTGGTCAGTAGTTACTGACACAATGTGTGCTTCTATGCAGTATTTACTTACTCAATGTGTGCTACTGTGCAATATTTCCTGACTCAATGTGTGCTACTGTGCAGTATTTACCGAATCAATGTGTCATTGTGCAGTATGTCCTGAATCAATGTGTGTCACTGTGCAGTATTTCCTGAATCAATGTGTGTTACTGTTCAGTATTTACTGAATCAATGTGTGTTACTGTGCAGTATTTCCTGACTCAATGTGTGACACTGTGAAGCATTTCCTGCATCAATGTGTGCTTCAGTGTAGTTTGTCCTGCATCAATGTGTGCCACTGTGAAGCATTTCCTGCATCAATGTGTGCTTCAATGTAGTTTGTCCTGCAGCAATGTGTGCTACTGTGAAGCATTTCCTGCATAAATGTGTGCTTCAATGTAGTTTGTCCTGCACCAGTGTGTGCTACTGTGAAGCATTTCCTGCATCAATGTGTGTCACTGTGCAGTATTTCCTGAATCAATCTGTGTTACTGCGCAGTATTTCCTGACTCAATGTGTTTTACTGGTCAGTAGTTACTGACACAATGTGTGCTTCTATGCAGTATTTACTTACTCAATGTGTGCTACTGTGCAATATTTCCTGACTCAATGTGTGCTACTGTGCAGTATTTACCGAATCAATGTGTCATTGTGCAGTATGTCCTGAATCAATGTGTGTCACTGTGCAGTATTTCCTGAATCAATGTGTGTTACTGTTCAGTATTTACTGAATCAATGTGTGTTACTGTGCAGTATTTCCTGACTCAATGTGTGACACTGTGAAGCATTTCCTGCATCAATGTGTGCTTCAGTGTAGTTTGTCCTGCACCAATGTGTGCTACGGTGAAGCATTTCCTGCATCAATGTGTGCTTCAATGTAGTTTGTCCTGCACCAATGTGTGCTACTGTGAAGCATTTCCTGCATCAATGTGTGCTTCAGTGTAGATTGTCCTGCACCAATGTGTGCTACTGTGGAGTATTTCCTGCATCAATGTGTGTCACTGTGCAGTATTTCCTGAATCAATCTGTGTTACTGCGCAGTATTTCCTGACTCAATGTGTTTTACTGGTCAGTAGTTACTGACACAATGTGTGCTTCTATGCAGTATTTACTTACTCAATGTGTGCTACTGTGCAATATTTCCTGACTCAATGTGTGTCACTGTGCAGTATTTACCGAATCAATGTGTGTCACTGTGCAGTATGTCCTGAATCAATGTGTGTCACTGTGCAGTATTTCCTGAATCAATGTGTGTTACTGTTCAGTATTTACTGAATCAATGTGTGTTACTGTGCAGTATTTCCTGACTCAATGTGTGCCACTGTGAAGCATTTCCTGCATCAATGTGTGCTTCAGTGTAGTTTGTCCTGCACCAATGTGTGCTACTGTGAAGCATTTCCTGCATCAATGTGTGCTTCAATGTAGTTTGTCCTGCAGCAATGTGTGCCACTGTGAAGCATTTCCTGCATCAATGTGTGCTTCATTGTAGTTTTTTCTGCACCAATGTGTGCTACGGTGAAGCATTTCCTGCATCAATGTGTGCTTCAGTGTAGTTTGTCCTGCATCACTATGTGCTACTGTGAAGCATTTCCTGCATCAATGTGTGCTTCAATGTAGTTTGTCCTGCACCAGTGTGTGCTACTGTGAAGCATTTCCTGCATCAATGTGTGTCACTGTGCAGTATTTCCTGAATCAATCTGTGTTACTGCGCAGTATTTCCTGACTCAATGTGTGTCACTGTGCAGTATTTCCTGAATCAATCTGTGTTACTGTGCAGTATTTCCTGAATCAGTGTGTGTCACTGTGCAGTATTTCCTGAATCAATCTGTGTTACTGTGCAGGATTTCCTGACTCAATGTGTGCTAGTGTGCAGTATTTCCTGAATCAATGTTTGCTACTGTGCATTATTTCCTGATTCAATGTTAGTCACTATGCAGTATTTCCTTAATCGATGTGTGCTACTGTGCAGTTTCTCCTGAATCAATGTATGTAACTGTGCAGTATTTACTGACTCTATGTGTGCTACTGTGCAGTTTCTCCTGAATCAATGTGTGTTACTGTGCAGTATTTACTGACTCTATGTGTGCTACTGTGCAGTTTCTCCTGAATCAATGTGTGCTACTGTGCAGTATTTACTGACTCAATGTGTGTCACTATGCAGTATTTCTTGAATCAATGTGTGTTACTGTGCAGTATTTCCTGACTCAGTGTGTGCTACTGTGCAGTATTTCCTGACTCAATGTGTGGTAGTGTGCAGTATTTACTGACTCAATGTGTGTTATTGCGCAGTATTTCCTGACTCAGTGTGTGCTACTGTGCAGTATTTCCTGCATCAATGTGTGTCACTGTGGAGTATTTCCTGACTCAGTGTGTGCTACTGTGCAGTATTTACTGAATCAATGTGTGTTACTGTGCAGTATGTCCTGAATCAATGTGTGTTACTGTGAAGCATTTCCTGAATCAATGTGTGCCACTGTGAAGCATTTCCTGAATCAATGTGTGTTACTGTGCAGTATGTCCTGCATCAATGTGTGTTACTGTGCAGTAGTTACTGACTCAATGTGTGTTACTGTGCAGTATGTCCTGCATCAATGTGTGTTACTGTGCAGTATTTCCTGACTCAGTGTGTGCTACTGTGCAGTATGTCCTTAATCAATGTATGTTACTGTGCAGTAGTTACTGACTCAATGTGTGTTACTGTGCAGTATGTCCTGCATCAATGTGTTTTACTATGCAGTATTTCCTGAATGAATGTGTGATACTTTGCAGTATGTCCTGAATCAATGTGTGTTGCTGTGCAGTATGTCCTGACTCAATGTGTGTTACTTTGCAGGATTTCCCACATGAATGTGTCACTGTGCAGTATATCCTGCATCAGTTTAGGTTGCTGTGCAGTTTCTCCTGAATCAGTGTGTGTTACTGTGCAGTATTTCCTGAATCAATGTGTGTTACTGTGCAGTATTTCCTGAATCAATGTATGTCACTGTGCAGTATTTCCTGAATCAGTGTGTGTTACTGTGCAGTATTTCCTGAATCAGTGTGTGTTACTGTGCAGTTTTTCCTGAATCAGTGTGTGCTACTGTGCAATATTCCTGCATCAGTGTATTTTCCTGATATACTTTTCCTCGTGTTTTGAAAGAAAAGTATATCATTACATATTGTTTTGTAATATACACATCGTATCTTGTTTCCTGTTGAAAAACATATATTCTGTAACATTGTATGTTGTAATAAACACTGTACGGCAGAATTTCGACACCCATTTTCCTGTGTGTGTTTCTAAACGCATACTGTATCAGCAAATAGTGTATTTTAATCTGAATTGTGCAGCTGATGTGTTTATTCCAGCCATGTAAATAGGACTGTATCATTTGAAAGGTTTATTGTCATGGCGGTGTGTCATACTACTTTACGATACATACATAATGTTCCCATTATGTCACACGAAAGAGGTGAAGAACATAGCTAGGGTCTATAAATAGGTCCACGCTTGCTGCTTATCGGTGTTTATCTGTACTTCAACTCAGTTAAGTAAATTCAGTGATGGAAATCAATCTTAATGTTATTCTTGTAGAATTGATTGTGTAGACCACTAGACAGCGCCGTGTGGTGTGGGTCGAGTTCAGCCATGACCAGGGTCGGTGTGGGTCGTGATCAGGGTCGGTGAGGGTCGTGATCAACCATAACCAGGGTCGGTGAGGGTCGCGATCAGCCATGACCAGGGTCGGTGTGGGTCGTGATCAGGGTCGGTGAGGGTCGTGATCAACCATAACCAGGGTCGGTGAGGGTCGCGATCAGCCATGACCAGGGTCGGTGAGGGTCGCGATCAGCCATGACCAGGGTCGGTGTGGGTCGTGATCAGCCCTGACCAGGGTCGGTGAGGGTCGTGATCAGCCATGACCAGGGTCGGTGTGGGTCGTGATCAGGGTCGGTGTGGGGCGTGATCAGCCATGACCAGGGTCGGTGTGGGTCGTGATCAGCCATGACCAGGGTCGGTGTGGGGCGTGATCAGCCATGACCAGGGTCGGTATGGCCCGAGATCAGCCATGAACAGGGTCGGTGTGGGTCGTGATCAGCCATGACCAGGGTCGGTGTGGGTCGTGATCAGCCATGACCAGGGTCGGTGAGGGTCGTGATCAACCATGACCAGGGTCGGTGAGGGTCGTGATCAGCCATGACCAGGGTCGGTGAGGGTCGTGATCAGCGATGACCAGGGTTGGTGTGGGTCGTGATCAGGGTTGGTGTGGGTCGTGATCAGCCATGACCAGGGTCAGTGTGGGTCGTGATCAGGGTCGGTGAGGGTCGTAATCAGCCATGACCAGGGTCGGTGAGGGTCGTAATCAGCCATGACCAGGGTCGGTGTGGGTCGTGATCAGCCATGACCAGGGTCGGTGAGGGTCGTGATCAGGGTTGGTGTGGGTCGTGATCAGCCATGACCAGGGTCAGTGTGGGTCGTGATCAGGGTCGGTGAGGGTCGTAATCAGCCATGACCAGGGTCGGTGAGGGTCGTAATCAGCCATGACCAGGGTCGGAGTGGGTTATGATCAGCCATGACCAGGGTCGGTGAGGGTCGTGATCAGGGTTGGTGTGGGTCGTGATCAGCCATGACCAGTGTCAGTGTGGGTCGTGATCAGGGTCGGTGAGGGTCGTAATCAGCCATGACCAGGGTCGGTGAGGGTCGTAATCAGCCATGACCAGGGTCGGAGTGGGTTATGATCAGCCATGACCAGGGTCGGTGTGGGTCGTGACCAGGGTCGGAGTGGGTTATGATCAGCTATGACCAGGGTCGGTGAGGGCCATTCAATCGGGTAATGGAGGAAGCGGGTGTGTGGCTCATTGGATAACTAGGTCACAGCGTACAACATGAACTACAGTAACATAAAACCTTAAACAAGTACACGTTCATACACGTTCGTGTCAGGAAGATGTCCTCACCTGTTAGAGTTTGGTATCCACTGTCCCAGGATGAAGGTACAAACCTCCTACATCAATTGATCTTCTCTCTTGATACGATCTGTCTGGACACCACCTGTCTCTCCTGTACCTGGTATGGGGTTGCTATACTCTTGTATGGCCGATGTCAACAGTTATCTACATGTTTGAAGTGTGTCACACACTATTAAAGTGGGGAACCAGCTAACACACAACTCTCCCTCATTCTCATGACGCGTCTCGTCTCACAAACCCGGCTTCCATGGTCGTGTCAGTGAGTGTTCGGTGGACCGGGAAGTAGAATGTATTCACAAGTAGAGTGTCGCTAGGCGGGTTGGGTCGCCCACTACTCGCTGGTTCGTCAGTTGTTACTGTACATGAATAATGCGAGAACCTACAGCGACTTCCGGGCAGATAAGGGTAGAAGTCCCAATACATCCGTCGTCTGTTTAGTCGCCGATTGTTCAACATTGAACATCTATCAAAATAGGATATACGCGTCACGAACGATATTACATAATGATAGTTGATAACTTGAGGTCTACGTGACTTGTCACACGTTTGATATCATTATCATCATAAAACATAGTGTAACTATTTCGGGAGTTTATAAACTTTTATGACTCTCTTCATTACCTAGACCATCATATCCGACGGAGTATAGATGTCTGGTCCTCACGGCTGATTCATACACCCGTTCCATATATCAAGTAACCCGTAAGAATTCCGGGTCAGAATAACCCAGGCTGGCCGATAGTGGCGACTAAATGTTATGGGTGACTTGGTCGATTTGTTGTACCCCGACCTAGCTCAGAATATGAGTCACTGGATTGTCGGGTGCAGACTCGATATTTACAGGCCGCCGTCATTTGTAGCTGGAACAGTGGTGAGTGCGGCGTTGAACAACAAAACAAAATATGACAGATATACAGACAGACGTTATGTAGCTTGTATAATGTGACAACAACTTACATAAACTTACATTAACAATATATGCTTCAGTTTGATCACGTTACCGAGTGTACACCTTTGGCATATATTTGTACAAACAAGAGATGACATAGATGCGTAAAAATTTGCATACGTGTTAACAGGGTCTGGAACGTGACCACACGCTCTTGTATTCTGTCGAGTTACCCTACGAGGAGGTCAGTGACTGGATACTGAATGACAACGCACTTTGAAGTACTCTGCAGTACCACCCCAAGCCGGGCACTTCATCCACACATGTATATGCCGCCTACGACAGGCGAGTCATTTGGGCCTAAGGGGAGTCATCAGAGCCGAGGCTCAAGTAACTCTAGAGTCGTCTGATGATTGCACCCCATTTGTTTTACATATTGTGAAATTACCAGATTTTATAGAACAGGGTCGTTTGAGCCTGAGACTCAAGAATCGTGTGTAGAACAGGGGGAGTAGTTTAAGCCTCATACTCAAGAATCGGATATAGATTAGGGGGAGTAGTTTGAGCCTGATACTCAGGAATCGGATATAGAACAGGGGGAGTAGTTTGAGTTTTGTATTAAAGAATCGGATATAGAATAGGGGGAGTAGTTTGAGCCTGATACTCAGGAATCGGATATAGAACAGGGGGAGTAGTTTGAGTTTTGTATTAAAGAATCGGATATAGAATAGGGGGAGTAGTTTGAGCCTGATATTAACGAACTGGATATAGAACAGGGGGAGTAGTTTGAGCCTGATATTAACGAATCTGATATTGAACAGGGGGAGTAGTTTGAGCCTGATGTTAGAGAATCGGATATAGAACAGGGGGAGCAGTTTCAGCCTGATATTAAAGAATTGGATATAGAACAGGGGGAGTAGATTGAGCCTGATGTTTAAAAATCGAATATAGAATAGGGGGTGTAGTTTGAGCCTGATATTAAAGAATCGGATATAGAACAGAGGGAGTAGTTTGAGCCTGATATTAAAGAATCGGATATAGAACAGGGGGAGTAGTTTGAGCCTGATATTAAAGAATTGGATATAGAACAGGGGAAGTAGTTTGAGCCTGATATTAACGAATCGGATATAAAACAGGGGGAGTAGTTTAAGGCTGATATTAAAGAATCGGATATAGAACAGAGGGAGTAGTTTGAGCCTGATATTAAAGAATTGGATATAGAACAGGGGGAGTAATTTAAAACTGATATTAAAGAATCGGATATAGAACAGGGGATGTAGTTTGAGCCTGATATTAAAGAATTGGATATAGAACAGGGGAAGTAGTTTGAGCCTGATATTAAAGAATCGGATATAGAACAGGGGAAGTAGTTTGAGCCTGATATTAACGAATTGGATATAGAACAGGGGAAGTAGTTTGACCCTGATATTAACGAATTGGATATTGAATAGGGGGAGTACTTTGAGCCTGGTGTTGAAAAGTCGGATATAGAACAGGGGAAGTAGTTTCACCCTGATATTAACGAATTGGATATAGAACAGGGGAAGTAGTTTGACCCTGATATTAAAGAATTGGATATAGAACAGGGGAAGTAGTTTGACCCTGATATTAACGAATTGGATATAGAACAGGGGAAGTAGTTTGAGCCTGATATTAAAGAATTGGATATAGAACAGGGGAAGTAGTTTGACCCTGATATTAAAGAATTGGATATAGAACAGGGGGAGTAGTTTGAACCTGATATTAAAGAATCGGATATAGAACAGGGGGAGAAGTTTGAGCCTGATATCAACGAATCGGATATAGAACAGGGGGAGTAGTTTGAGCCTGATACTCAAGAATCGGATATAGAACAGGGGGAGTAGTTTGCGCCTGATATTAAAGAATCGGATATAGAACAGGGGGAGAAGTTTGAGCCTGATATTAAAGAATCGGATATAGAATAGGGGGAGTAGTTTGAGCCTGATATTAAAGAATCGGATATAGAACAGGGGGAGTAGTTTGACCCTGATATTAAAGAATCGGATATAGAACAGGGGGAGCAGTTTGAGCCTGATTATAAAGAATCGGATACAGAACAGGGGGAGTAGTTTGAGCCTGATATTAAAGAATCGGATATAGAACAGGGGATGTATTTTGAGCCTGATATTAAAGAATTGGATATAGAACAGGGGAAGTAGTTTGAACCTGATATTAACGAATTGGATATAGAACAGGGGAAGTAGTTTGAACCTGATATTAAAGAATCGGATACAGAACAGGAGAAGTAGTTTGAACCTGATATTAAAGAATCGGATACAGAACAGGGGAAGTAGTTTGAGCCTGATATTAACGAATTGGATATAGAACAGGGGATGTAGTTTGAACCTGATATTAAAGAATCGGATACAGAACAGGGGGAGTAGTTTGAGCCTGATATTAAAGAATCGGATATAGAACAGGGGAAGTAGTTTGAGCCTGATATTAAAGAGGCACCTGGAGTTTTTCCAAATAAAGTAAAATATCACATCAAAGATTGTTCAGGATTAGGACATACATCACAAAATAGAAAGAGGTGACGCCAGACCAATTAGACCCCTTTTTATTAGCAGCCATTAGGAAAGAATGTTCCAGACAGGTGCAAGAAATATCACAAGCCAATATCATTCAGCCCAGTTCTTCTGAATGGAACTGTCCCGTTGTCATGTTTAAAAAACAGGATAACCCTTACCGCTTTGCCGTAGATTATAGACGCCTTAATGCAGTTACCAAGCCTAAATTTTACCCTCTACCACGACGCTGTCGTTGACGCCATATATAGGCAACAGCCATGCCAACATCTTAATGTCCTTGATTGTGCTAGTGGCTAGTGGCAAATACCACTCCATCCAGATAAAAAAACACAAGTCGGCATTCATTACACCCGATGGTGTTTTTGAATAATCGCCTCCCTTTCTGCCTCAAAAATGCTCCTATGGCATTTCAGCAAACCATTTCAGGCACTAAAAGAAATGAATTGGCATTACATATTAATATATGGAGATGACATCATAATATTTTCTAAAACGTTTTCAGAACATTTGAATCACCTCAAGGCAGAAATCCAAAAGATCAAAGAACCAAGTCACCTGCTTTGGGCATATCTTCAGCAAAGATGGTATCTTTTCGATCCTTCAAAAATAGATTCAGCCACACAGAAGCCATCCCCTAAAGTTGTCCATGGCATGCGTCATTTCTTAGATTTTGGGCCAACTTGATTCTCATGGCATAACTTATAATGATGTTGTTAAATCATGTCTTTTGACAATACTGGCGACTATTCTTGTCGTAAGAGGCGACTAACGGGATCGGGTGGTCAGGCTCGCTGACTTGGTTGATACGTGTCATCATATCCCAATTGTGTAGATCGATGCTCATGATGTCAATCACTGGATTGTCTGGTCCAGACTCTATCATTTACAGACCGCCGTCGTATAGCTGGAATATTGCTGAGTGTGGCGTTAGCAACAAACAAACTTTTGACAATGCAAGAACCTTCCTTGAAATTGGCCCTTTTCTGTTTTAGGACCAGCAATGTTGGTTGGTATTCTTTCACATCATCACAAAATAGCCAAGCAACAAGTTCATATTGTATTGGGTTTGTCCAAGTAAGGGTAAATGATGTTGAATGGCCATTTCACATCAAAGTCAACAACTGTTTCAGTCATATCACATATTGCCTCTCACGGTGATATCTCTCTGTTAAAGATTATGGCTTTGCTGACGAAATACTCTGTATTGATGAGGATGGCCATATTGCGGTTGAGTCTGTTTATTGAGGCTGTTTATTGAGGCCCCCCCCCCCTAGAAATCAAATGTCCCCTCCCCCACCCCCCACCCTCCACCCCACCCCCAGCTACATCACAACGTCACCACAACGCCTTTACGACATCACGACGTCTCAACAACAACACAGCGTCTTGACAACATCACACAGTCTTAACAACACAGCTTCTTATAAACCACATTGTCAAATCTACATCATTGCGTCTCTATCAATGTCATAGCGTCTCTATCAATATCACAGCGTCTCTATCAATATCACAGCGTCTCTATCAATATCATAGCGTCTGTAACAACATCACATCGCCTGCATCAATATCACAGCGTCTCTATCAATATCATAGCGTCTAACAACATCACATCGCCTCTATCAATATCACAGCGCCTCTATCAATATCACAGCGTCTCTATCAATATCATAGCGTCTGTAACAACATCACAGCGCCTCTATCAATATTACATCGCCTCTATCAATATCACAGCGCCTCTATCAATATCACAGCGTCTCTATCAATATCACAGCGTCTCTATCAATATCATAGCGTCTAACAACATCACATCGCCTCTATCAATATCACAGCGCCTCTATCAATATCACAGCGTCTCTATCAATATCATAGCGTCTGTAACAACATCACATCGCCTCTATCAATATTACAGTGCCTCTATCAATATCACAGCGTCTCTATCAATATCACAGCATCGGTAACAACATCACAGGGTCTTATCAACATATCAGCGTCTCGAACATGACACCGTCTCGAAATACTTCACAGCGTCTCTAACAGCATAACATTCTGCAACAACGCTATGCACAGTCACG